TTTTTCTGCTGCTTCTAAAATGTCCCAGTTTCTCTCTTCTCCCACTTTCCCCCTTGCCCACAGCTTACTTCAACTGCTGCAGACTGAGTTCAAAGTGCAAAAGCAGTTTGTACTCAATTCAGCATGGGCTAAAGGAGTGGAGGGGGCTCATAAGTCTAGTCCTTTCCAGTAGGCTTTGCAGAAACAAACTGCTGCAGCCTCTCCTAGCTGATGTGTTTTTCCTCATTAATAACTTCTTCCATTTTGACCACAATCTTAATATTGCTTGGTCAACACATGTTCTGGTTTTCATCTGTGAACTATTGGAAGCCATTATGTTGTTATGGCTCTCATTCATTTTCAGGTGAACTGAAAAGATTTATCTTCAGCTGTACTAACACAGTGTTATTATTTCCAGTGGTATTATAGTATTACCACCTACCCATGAAGGAAGAGTTAAACGCACATGGGCAGGCAATGTTGATTAATGTTTGCTCAGGTGGCAAGCCCACAGGGAGGTTTAACCCCAGTTTCTGAATGCAAAAGCTATGTCCTTGAAAACATTTACCTCCAAATAAAAAATACATATCTAGGAGAAGGTAAATGTGACTGCTGTCAGTTTGGATTTGACAGATTGCTGCTGAAGTTGCAGTCTTTCACCACAAAATGGGTCTATAATCATTCCTGGCCTACTGATGCCTCAACCACCACTTAAGACATTTTGGTAGGCACAAGCAATAAAGTGGACTTTTAGCAGGAAACAGGATAAAAATGTATTTAGAAATCAGGAAGGAAAGTGTTATGCCATAATGACAAAAGAACACAATTGTATAAGAAAAAGCAGGAAGGACAATATTTGCAATTGACTTTTTAATTCACCTTAGATGTAAAAGTTTGCAGAATAAAGGAAATATGCAAAGTATTGACTGAAGTGTTTAATAAGATACTTATATTTAGAATTAAAATCTTCCCATTTACCGACCCACTCTCCTTTCTTAGGCTATTCAGACTCATAGATTCCTGAGAGTTGTAAGGGACACTGTTGTTGTTGTTGTTGTGTTATGGCGACTCTAAGTCAAATATGGGATTTTCTTGGCAGAATTTGTTCAGAGGTGGTTTGTCATTGCTTTCCCCTGAGGCTGAGAGCATGTGACTTGCCCAATGACACTCAATGGGTTTCATGGTTGAGCTGGGAATAGAACCCTGGCCTCCAGAGTCATAGTCCAACACTCAAACCACTACACCATGCTAGCTATTCCAACCCCCTGCCATGAAAGAATATATAGCTAAAACACTCTTGAGAATTTATCTTGTAAATTAAAAATACCCATCCCTATTATGTATGGCCAGAGCTTGGGAAAACTAAACTTTTCAAACTCTGTCTACAGTGTGATCAATAATTGCCTTGCCTGAATAATTTGGATTATTGATTCACTGAAAGTGACTTTCTTGAGTTACATGCCATGTTGATTCTTTGCTTGTACCAAGTGTAATCTGGATACCAAATGTGGATTACTCTGTCAGGAAGCATGTTGATAGATGGTATGGAAGAGAACTATTATGTAGATATTCTTATATTAAATTTAATTGGATGCCACATTCACTAGGACATGTGATGAGATTACTGTAGCCACAGAGTCCTATTTTGGGTGAAAACTGATCACAATCCTTTTGGGGCTACAATGTACATTGATATTTGGCATGGCATAGGTAAGGATCCAACCATTAGGCAGGTTGACTGCTACTGAATTCCCACTGCCTTCCAGCCTACATGGGAATCATTATATCCAATCTCCATGTCCTTGGTGAGTGTTGGGCCCAGTGAGGTAGACATCAGTCATGGTGACCATTCCTGCCACCTGAGTTTCAGTCAGGTAACCCTGAATTATTTTATTTACTGGTGTGCAAGATACATTCTTTCTTGGAAGGAGGAGGAGAAGGAGGATTTATTAACTTTATTTATACCCCATTTTTTTCCCAAGACCCAATACTCAAGATGGATTATGAATTAAAACAAGTACAATATAGTCAGAGTACGTGAAAGAGCAATTAAAAGAAATTAAAATACAAACAGTACTTTAAAAACAGCTTCCATAATGGCTTGTCATTATGTGCACATTACCCCAATGTTAGCTACATTATATGGCATGAATGAAGACAAGAGAAGCAAAAATATTCATTCACCATGTTATAATGGTAGTTGATCCTGAATTTTTACATGCATACATCCCATTAATGGCATGTGG